CAGTGAAAAGAAGGACTGGGTTATTTACTTTGGCCTTTTTGGAAACACAGGAAGGAGCAATCAGCTAAGTGAGCTTAGTGCTTGGAAAAAATCTTGAGGTCAGAGGGCCCCTTGCCTGTCTTTGCCCCAAATTTCCTAAATCCACCCCTGGCGCAGAGCAACATCACAGCATCTTGACCAGTTTGATCCAGCATCCAGTTTTCGGCGTTTGCACATTTTTAACGCCTATAACGCCTTCTGTAAGATCGCAGAATAAGTTTAGCCGTTGCCAGGTAACCAGCAGCTTTTGATGCTTTAAGAAACCAAATGTCTCTGGAGGATTTTACTGCCCCAAACTTTGTGAGGAAACGTTTGAGCCTGATCTGCTCCAGCTTCAACAGGATGGAGGTCTGATTGGACAGGAGTTTCTGATGGGAGGAGTTTGGTGTGAAAGGAAACTCAAAGGAGAAGCTTCAGGATGAATTCAGTCCAACATCAGTGTCTGACCTCACAGATGCTCTGGTTTCTTACAGAAACACTCAGAACGTCACAAAGCATTTCTGTTTATGTCTGGAGCCTTTAAAGGCTTTTACTTTAAGGCAGGATTTCTCTTTAACAGCTTCAGTTATCAGGACATAAAAATGTGTTTCCTGTGAAAACCTTTAAATGCATTGAGACATTTTCTCTGCTGAAACCAGTTTGAGGCCGAAGGACAGAAATCCAGATTAATGTGTCACCATGAGGAGGCATCATCTGCCAACTAGCAGGTGAATTATTCCTGCATCCAGTAAACCTTTAGCTCTTCGTTTATTCTGCCCTCTTTTCTTCACTGCAGCTGAAACAGGATGGAAATGCTGCTTTCTTTTTGTTTCTTTGTTAGATTTGGATCAGCTTAAGAGTTACGATCAGAAACGCGACCACATACAGCACCGGCCGTCCTTTATGTAAGCTGAGAAAACATTGACCCACAGGCTGCTGTTTATTTAAACCGGAACATGCTGAGGAGTTAAAAACAGCAAATATCTGGGCTTATCGTGCAAAAAAACGTTTATTCATTTATGTAGATAACCAAAGGAGTATAGAATGAACCATTTAGATAGTAAAACAGGACCTATTTTATTGAATAAAGCTGAACTTGGAGCTGAGCTCCGTCCATCTGCAGATTTACGTTGATTTAAGAACTTTAATAATGAACAGAAAGCATGATCTCTGCAGAGACTCACCTGCTGCTTAATGGAGAGTTTTCCTGCAGCCTGAAAGGAGCCAAAGTCCTGAGTAGTTTACCGTAGGAGCGTGCCTGGAGACTAAAGGAGACGAGTGGGTGTGAGATCCTGCAGCCAACCAGGATCCACCTACAGCTGTCTCCACGGTGAAGGACGTCAGGATGCTCAGCGACTTCTCCCACTTTCCAGCATCATTCCGCCGCTTTCGTGCTTTTTCCTGGAAGAATTTGAAACATCTGCAGAATTCGGTTAAATCTTCTTAAGGGGATGAAGAGAGCGGGTGGGGGGGGACAAGGCTGCAGGCCTCAGCTGCAGATTGCTCAACAGTCACGTTTTGGTTTTAACATTTTGAACTTTTTCTTTCCCTGCAAACAACAAATTATTTGGAAAAATTCTTCTTTACGTGTCTGAGATTTTGAGAAAATATAAGATCCTTGTAAATTGTAAAGTTTATATTAAACAATAGAATTAAATGACATAAAAAATAAGAAAATAAAGTAGAATTATGATTAGAAGTCTCCAACTTTATACATTATTATTTTCAAAGTATTTCTCGAAGTGCGCTTTGCACTTACTTTGAAAATCAGAATTTCCAGCCAATATTATTATTGGAATCCAGGACCTTATTACCTTTAGAACATTCAACATATATGGATATTTTGATTGTAAAACTTTATGCCAATATAATAACAAGAAACGCCAACTTGCCCGAATATATTAAGAAAAATAACAAAAGTGCTTCTAGAAGAAATTCATGAAAAACAATCTGAGAGTTTTGACCTTAGAACAGCGGTAACCAATTAAAACTCAGCAGGTCCGAATAAAGAAAATCATCAACCAGTAAAGGTCCAGAGACATTTTTAATTATAATCTGTTACTTTAAACAGAATTTAACACTGAAATAAAATTAGTTTTTTAATGCATCCAATTTTTAAATACGAAAATTTTTTCATTTTAAAATCTAAAGTGTTTTTTTAAGTAGAGAACAACAATCGTTCATAATTTCCTGATTCCCATATTTTCTCAAACACCTGAACTGATGGTTTGTTATTTTCTTTCTTTTTTCTGTCTTAATGTTGGCAGTTGGCTTTAGGCTGCCCTGCAAGGCTTTAAACCTGGGTTTAACCGGAGACTAA